TCAAGTTTTATCTGTACCAACTGAAAATCATTCAGTTCGAGTTTTACCCTATTCAATTAGGCCGGATTCAGGCGGCTATCCACGACAACAGCTTTCTTCTTCCCACCGTTCAGTTCTTCTTAGACAAGTGCGAAGTTTCGTTCTTTTCTTATATTAGATTTTCAACTTAGTCTACAACATGTGAATCCTAATATAAATAAAGCTTCTATGGTATATCATACTCTTTTTATTTTTTACATTAGATGAACAAATTAGTATATATCATCCCAATTTAATGCCTTTGTAATATATCATATTATTCCCACATGGCGAGGACGTCACATGGAATGAAGATTTTAAGTTGTGATTTAGAAGGTGAAGAATCTAAAACCGTGCAAAATATCGTGTTTGAGAAAAAAATTTAATAATATTGCACAACTTCAGTACAAATTACTTTCGAGAAGACAAATGTAATTTATGATGTTGGTAAATCATTTATTTTCAGAAGTATTGAAAATTTGTTTATATTAAACATCGTAATTTGTTTGGCAAGCATGGACAATATATTTTACTTGGGTGTCGTAGTAAGAAGTTGATTGTATATGAATTTATTAGTACTTAATTGACCAATGACAATCTGATTCACAATTATATGAGGTTGGTTGTCATGTTATATAGATCAGGGAACGAATTGTAGTTCATTTGTTATGTATGAGCAATAGGTTTGTTTGGGGTGTCGACGGGCTGCGAGTGGTTCAGGTGAAGATTTGTACAAGTTATGCTTAGGATTTCAATTGTTCAAAGATTAAAAATAAACTTCCTCAATATTATTCTTATACTGCCATGCCTAATAAATATTTTGAAATGAATGATAGTAAAAGAGTTATCTTTTGATTATTAAGTCAACAACTCATTTTTTACTGAATTTATTCATTTGAAAAATAGTTAGTAAAATACAGTACGACTAAGTTAAGTATATAATACATACAGGTACTTGATTTCGTCTCTAAACTAATGGTATATTTAATAGTACGTCAATAGTTAAAAAAATAAAATTATTTATTTAAAAATAAAATAAGATATAAATAATTGTTAATTTAACAATTAAATTTATTAAATATGAATATACATGTTTAGTACTCGAGCCATCAAATGAAAGGAACAAATGAAATGACTTCACAATAATATGGATAATGAAGTTTTAAATGGATAAAATTCGTGCGGCCATTATATGTGTATTAAACGGAGTATTTACTTATTATGATTAGAAGTTGACAATATGAATAATAACTATTAAGGTTGGTTGCGAGTTTTTAGGAACGAAAATTATAGAAATGACAATTTTGACCGAGCCCATGAGTAATTAATCATTCAAATCAGATCAGTTGGCTACAAAACTCAAATATAAGGTAAGTGTGTACATATCTATAGTTTTATTTAGAGACATACTCACTTATTCGGGTTGGTTTGGACTTTTAAGTCATAAGTTTGGGTTTATGCCATGACCATATAAAATCAAGATTTTGGTACATATAATATTTTCAAATTTCAGTACTTAAAATTAATTCTTGGAATAGAAGTCCTAGAAATCAATGAAAAAATTCATTCCGTAACTAAAACTTTCATCCTTACAATTTTATACCTAAACTTTATAACTGTTACAAATTGGTCAAAATTCGTATGTGTAATTTAATCAGTCTCATATAAATAGGTAAACTCATGCCTAAATAGAATATAATGTCAATACCCATACCCTATAAAGTCTATTCCAACAATATTCAAATCCCTAGAAAATTGGCCCCAAACCCTACCATAATCAATGTGTCTATATGTGTTTTTGGATAAAATTACATGTAAGTGCATAGTTACAATTCCTAGACATCATGTTCTTTTCAATATAATTCACCAAGTCCACGAAATTTACGGTCCAGACCCCACTAAGAGCATAGTGCAATAAGCTAAGATATCCACATGCAATTATAAAATAAGTTTTTTCGAAACCTAAATATCTCAACAATGTAGCATATTTTCATTCATATCACTTATGTTGACGTTTCTTTTTTTGATAATTTTAGGTTGCTATTGGGTGGGCTAAAAACTGAATCCAAAACACCAAAAATTGCCAAATCGAAAAAGCTACCTCATAGAGTTTGTTTTAACCGCATTGCAATTCTCATGGAATTCTCAATGCACCTTTTGTTACCGTGTTCTCTCTACAAATCTAGAGTACATTATTTAAAATTGTTTGTTGTCAACATTTATTATTATGTACTTCACTTTTAAAAAGATATATCATGTACTATAAGATTATCAAACGGTACAGACTACAATAACATATTATACTAAAATAATGCTCATATGACATACACTAATAGTAATTAATTAATAATGTTGAGACTGCTAATATTGTGACAACTCTTTCACCAAAAGAATATCTGACCCCCACTTTCCTCCACATTCCTCTTACATTATTATCTCATACTCAATTACTCAAACTATAATCCTAATCCAAGTTATGTGCATGTCCTAGCCCCAAACCACGTCAAAATGTGAAGATAATAAATAAAAAACATATTAAAAGTGGGGGGTTTCTTTCATTTTCGTAAAAAGATTTTAGTCGATTAGTCATTACTCTGTTGGGAGACAGTACAATGTTCATTCTTTTGAAGTGTTGAACTATTCTAATAATTTTGATGATCTTATTCACCCAATCGATTTGAATGTTTAAAGTATTTGAAGAATTTAGATTTTCTTATACTAATACGTAACCTGAATACAAATCACTACTGTTATTTTTCGTGATTGATAACTAAATACGGCCAACTGGTCGGGCCCGTAACTAGTATAAATATATAACCCTAGAAAATGTTAATAACTAGTATATAGCCTTGACAATGCACGTACTCAGAAATCAGAATCCAATGCTAGGCCAACTAAGCTCCCGCCTCTCCTCTCATAATTCCACGTTCCATCAGTACACCTTGTCGGCTACTCAATTTCCCGTAACTTTCCCAGCCACAACCCAATTATTTCCCGCCACCTGTCCTCTCCATTTCAATCCGCCTTTTACCTGACATGGGCCCTTCCCCCGCTCCTTCCTACCTCACCGTCAGATCCGTCACAGTCGAATCATGCTCCACCACCTGTCCACCCCTAGCTTTCCCCTTCCCCCACTATATATAATAACGGTCACTTACCGTTCACTCCACCATCCACAAAGACAAACGAACAAAATCTAAATCCACTCCCCTCACAGAAAAGCCATCTCCCAGATTCTTCTTCTCCCCCTTTATTTGTCTTCATCTTCATGATCCAAAAGCCCAACATCCCCACTCGCCGGATTCTGACCTTCCCGGCGGTTCACCCATGCGAAACCATAGCTCCGGCGACGCTCCTCGCTTCCCTCGTCTTCCTATGCCGCTCCGCCTGCGACTACAGATCATCCAAGTCGTTCGGCAGCAGCAACGCGCGGAATGCGCGCCAAACCATACGCCAGGTCGGTAACCTCCTCATCCTCCTCCAGGAAATCCGGTTCTCCGCCGTTCCCGACTCGCTCCTCCTCGGCCTCTCGGAGCTCCACTTCACGGTCCAGAAGGTCGTGTACCTGCTCGACGACTGCACCCGCCACGACGGCGCCCGGATCTGGATGCTGATGGAGTCGGATCGGGTCGCCAATCATTTCCGGGTTCTCGTTCGCGAGATGGCTACGGCTCTGGAGGTCCTGCCGCTCGAGGCTCTCGATCTGCCGCGCGAGGCGATGGAGGTGGCCGAGTTGGTGACGAGGCAAGCGAGAGAGACGAGGTTCCGAGTCGGAGCGGAAGCTCAAGCAGCCATGGCCAATGTCCTGGCGATCTTGAGCCGGTTCGAGAGCGGCGAGGTCCCCGATCGCGGAGAGGTCAAGCGAGTCCTGGACTACATCGGGGTGAAGAAATGGAGCGACTGCTACAGGGAGGTAAACCTCTTGGACTCTGAGATTGAGTTTCACTATTCGAACAATAAGGAAATGAGAAGAGAATTGCAACTGCTGAGTAGTTTGCTAGGGTTCGCGAGTTACGCTAGGTGCGTGTTGTTCGATTCAGTCGACGGCAAATCCGATCCGCCCGTTCACTGCGAGGGTGAAAGCCGTAACGATGAGTTGCTGGGTTCCCTTGACGGGGACGATTTCCGCTGCCCGATTTCTCTTGAAATCATGAGGGATCCCGTCACTATCGAGACGGGGCATACTTACGAACGTTGCTCGATTCTGAAATGGTTCAGGGCTGGAAATGCAACCTGTCCCAACACAGGGAACAAGTTGTCAAGCACAGAGTTTGTACCCAACGTTGCTCTGAAGCAATTGATTCAGCGCTATTGCCTTGCAAATGGCATCCCATTTGTTGATTCCAGTCGCAAGGCCCGGGACATAACCAGAACGGCTGCTGCTGGGAGTTTGGCTGCTGAATGTGCTATGAAAGCTGCAGCTAGATTTCTGGCCGATAAGCTCCTTGGTGGGGATTATAAATGGAGGAACAGATCAGCTTATGAGATCCGGCTTCTCAGCAAAACAAGCATTTTTAACAGATCTTGTTTGGTGGAAGCCGGAGTTATTCCTGCTCTCTTGGAATTGCTGTCTTCAGAAGAAGACGACTGTTCTTGTCAGGAGAATGCCATTGCAGCCATCCTGAATCTCTCAAAGCATTCGAGAAGCAAGGCTTTGATTGCTGAGAATGGTGGGTTGAGATTCATTGTAGATATGCTGAAGAAGGGAGTGAAGGTGGAGGCAGCTAGGCAGCATGCAGCTGCAACACTCTTCTATCTCTCTTCAGTAGAGGAGTACAGGAAATTGATTGGTGAAACCACAGAAGCTATCTCGTATTTGGTAGAGATGGTCAAAGAAGCAAACTACAGGGGGAAAAAGAATGCTCTTGTTGCAATCTATGGGCTGCTGATGCATTCAGGAAACCATTGGAGGGTTCTTGCATCTGGAGCAGTTCCTTTACTTCTCGATGTCTTGATCTCTTCAGACAGACACGAGGTTGTGACGGATTCTTTAGCAGTTCTGGCAACACTAGCAGAGAAACCTGAGGGGGCAAAAGCGATTATTAGATGCGGAGCTTTGCCTCAGGTTGTGCGGATTTTGGCTGCTGCCAATCCAAGGGCCACAATGGAGCATTGTGTCTGCCTGTTGCTTGCTATATCCATCAATGGTGGTGAAGATGTGGTGGCTTATCTGGTTCGTAGCCCTTCTCTGATGGGTTCATTATATTCCCAACTCAGCGAAGGCACATCTCGAGCAAGCAAGAAAGCTGGTGCTCTCATTAAGGTTCTTCATGAATTCTATGAAAGAACCTCCTCCACTTCGAAAGCAACAGTTCTTCCTTGGGAACGATTTGTTCATGCGTGGTAAACCCAAAGCCATTTTTATCATTTGGGTATTCCACATTTTTCATTCTTTTCATTTCATTTGCAAGCATCTGCCCACTGTATATACACTGAAATCGTGTAGAGGATGCTTGCCTCCTTTGTTTGTGTTGACATTAGCTCGGGTTTTTGAAGAGCTACCAACATCACATTGTCTTGGCTTCTGCATTTTTAAAATGAAGCTTTGTACAAAAATACATATCTATTCTGTTGTAATTCTTTTCCTGTCTTGTATATGAAATGATACTGTAGTAACTTAGTGTTGTAGAAGTGTAATGATGTACTACAGACTTTCATATTTGATACACAAGCAAGGCCTTCTGGTCAGCTTGATTGGATTTGTTCACCCTTTAGTCATCTTGACGATCTCATTGAGAAGTCTAGTACTTTCTTCAGCTCGACGATCGCATAGAGATGTCAAGTGCTTTCTCTAATCTTGTCACCACCATCTCCATTGTTGGTCTGTCCTTCTTACCACCTGAGCATGACAGGGCCAGCTTGAATAAAATCTCAAACGCTTCAGTAGAATACTCCCCGTTGAGTTTAGGATCAGCAAATTCTGCGATATTCCCTGATGTGGCTATGTACGAGGCCTGCAAAAAAGTTTTTAAGTGAAGAAAATCAGACCTGAAAGCTTTATTTGCACTTGTGTATAGAAGAAATCCAGATGGGCATTAGATGGATAGCTGATTTCTTCTGCTGCACCTTTTTGTTGAGCTGCATATGTGTGTTATGATTCATGTTGATCACCTTCTGTCCAGATAGAATTTGCATCAACACTATACCAAAACTATAGACATCCCCCTTAGCATTGACATGATGGTTCCTCTGATACTCGGGATCCACATAACCAAACGTTCCCCGCACTTCTGAACTCACAAACGACTGTCCCAAGTTCATAACCTTGGAAAGCCCGAAATCCGACAGCTTTGCTTGGAAATTGGAATCAAGAAGAATGTTGGTGGGCTGTCCGATTATCAGGAACAAAAGACGCAATGAGGAAATGAACTGAGACGATGAACTAGTCTACTGAAGAGCCAAAAAGAAAAAGAAAAGAGGGCATGCCTTGATATCGCGATGAACAATGCAGCCTCCAGGGTAAGTGTGAAGGAACCAGAGACCTCTAGCACAGTCAATTGCAATCTCAATCCTCTGTAGCCACGAAAGGGTCCGCTCTTTGCCTGTCGTAATATGCAACTGTCAGTGAGAGGGAAAAGCCAGCAAAAATTTCAGTCTTCCATGGAAGTGAAAGAATGAGTCTTACTGTAGAGCCATTCTGATAAGTTGCCATTTTCGCAGAGCTCGTAAACCAGGAAGTACTCATCTTCATGCTTGCAACATCCGGTCAAAGCGACGAGGTTAGGATGTTTGACATGAGAAAGACTGGTGACCTCTCTCACAAAGGTCTCTACATGGCCATCACTCACTATGTGCTTCACTGCAACCGCCTGCCCATCCGACAATTTCCCTTTGTAAACCTTTCCTGCACAAGTTGTTACAATACAAACTTCAGCAACCCAACCCAAATGAGCAAAGACCATTTACCAATAAGAGAAATGTGTTTGATCCAGATACCGGCTATCCCTTGACCGATGAAGTTCGATTCAGTGAGATGATTTGTTGCCGAGTAAATCTCCTTTATTGATATCTTGAGATTGTTAGGCTGCTTGAAGTTCAGATTTTTTTGTGATGCTGGTGCAAAACAAAATCTCCCACCACATGAGTAGGAAATTATATAAAAAAATTATCACCTTCCAGCTTCACCAAAGTTTTGTTGATATCTTACCAGTACGCAAGGAACCAGATTCAGCCGGTGATCGTGTTTGCTGAGACTTCCTTCTGCTCATGATCCATAGCAGCAACACGAGGATCGCTGCCACTCCCCCAACGCTAAGGCTCACGATCAGGATTTCTGCAACAGAATATATAACACTTGCACAGTCTGAGTCCCAAGTAACCACATTTCTGCAGGGGAAAAAAATTGCAGAATCAAGTTGATCAGTCACTCACCCCTGATAATCTTGCTACCGATTCGACGCCCTCCTTGGCTCGCTTTGCTGCCAGCTGCTGCGAGAAAGGATCATGAATCACAGCAAACAAAGTCAGTATTACTGTTAGGAAAGCCTTTCAGTTCAAAGTCTGAAGCTATACAGATGGAGTAAGATCCGGACAATCCAGTTGTTTATGTATCATTTACCTTGAGAAAGGCAGCCATAGAGTGGCTGAACTTGGTCTCTCGAACCAGCCCAGTTGCTGGTCAATGTGACCAGAACTGCAAACCTGCATAGCTCAGTTTCAGAGCTCGACCCATGGTCCAACGACGCCCGAATCTCCTCCCACTTCGCAGAACATCTGCTGCAGTGCTGACTGGAAGCATCCTCGGTGAAATTGCAGCCCTGATCAAGTGATTCCAGCTGGGGTTTCAGCTTGTAAGCAACATCAGCCACTGTAAAGCTGGAACAGCCGCTAGCTCCGCGGGTGAGCTTGTCGAAGCCGCAGCTGGTTCCGGTCAGGCAGCGGCTCTGGTCCGTGGAATTCAAGAATACCTGACCCGACTGAGAAGCCCACCGGGCCAATCCGAACAAGTAGTCGTCGAAAGCAGGTGTGCAGCAATCATCACCGCCGTCGATGAAGCCTCCCCAGTTGCCGGCCTGACGCCGGCGATCACCATCGCAGCTGGTATCGTCAGCGGGGGGTTGGATGTCGAGAATGCAACTACTTCCATCGGATTCCTGAGCGGAAACGCTATCTGGGTTGTCGGAGATATGGAGGAAGACGATTGCGAGCAAGACCGTAGAGGCGAAAAAGCTTCGGCGATGGCGAAGCTTCATGTGGAGAGAAAGAACACTGTAGATTCCGGAATTGGGAGAAGAAAGGTGGGAGTAAGATTATTATACTAAACAATGAATTGGGGCTTTGATTGTTTCTCTTGTTGCAGCCTGGAAACTTTTATTGTATAAAAATGGGATCAACAATGTGCAGAGTTTTTCTATGCAACCGGCGGCAATTGGAGGAATGGATGCAAAGAACAAAACGATTTTACAAGTTTTATTATCGTGAGCGCTGGATTTTTTGCCGAATGGAGTAATGGGATACAACCAAACCATTTCCATTTCCACACTTCATTTTCTACAGTTGGTTCAACTTTCACAGTCAAGGAGATGGTTTTCATTATTATTGTCTTTACCGATCTTTCACGATACTACCAATGTCAAGTGTTCCATGATCATTGACGCATAATCTATGATTGTTTTTCAATTCTTGACACAAAAATTTGTCATTTTGACATCTCAAAGATGATCTGATCGGAATCTATTATGGTGTTCATGATCAATGTGTGAAAACGTGTTCACAGAGGTATGTGACTGATTGATCGGATGTTTAAATTTTTTCGATTGTTTGATGAATACAATGACAGTTTTGTAATTCTTTTATTTTTAGGAACTTCATTTTTCGTGACAAAATGAGTAATAAATTATCACTACATCCATTCAATGGCCACAAAGTACGTCGTCATATACCATTCGATGAATAGGCACTTTATAAACATATCCTTACAAATATCTTATGAACATCAAAATCAAATGACTAAGATCGACGTGTTTAAACTCTCCTCTCGTATGATAACCATGCTCGCTCAAATTAAATTGCAATTATGAATTATCATATATTTCCTTTTCACTCTCCAACAGAGACAAATTTGAGGTGGACTGTGTCAATTTTATTTACTAATTAGAATATGGATTCGATGAGTTCACTGCTTTGTGCCATGTAAATATTAAACTTATATGACAAAAAAAAAATTAGTAAACTTGAATAAGAAAATGGGGTTGGCCGCCGGTCAATAATTGACCGCAAGGACGAGGGGGAAAAAACAAACAAGGTATAGATAGACGGTCATTTGAAGTTAGGATTTTTTTTCCTACGTACACTAGTTAAAAAAATATTCTCAAAATACAATAGTTATTACAAAATTTCTCATTATACACATGTTTTTATTTGATTGCTTAGGACAAAAGTGAACTACAATAAAATTGTTGGGATGAAAGCAATCAAAGTAAATCCCATCGCTTTTGTCATAAGTTATCAAGCAAACTCACTTTTGTTTTCAACGATTTCATTCCCTCATTCTGACTATAAGATATGTATAAGTTTGTTTAGTATGCTCATGTTTAAGGAGTTATGTGTTTGTGGTTCACTTATTATGGTTGGTGCAAATTATGCTAAATATTTGGATTAAAACTGAATGTATGATGGATTATTGTTTTGATCGTTAGTTATGATTTTGGATGATGTTTTTTAGTATACTAATGTCAAAGTAGTTATGTCATATGTGTTTGTGTTTCTCTTATTACAGTTAGTGTTAATTATGCTAAATATTTGGATTAAAGCTGATTGTATGATGGATTATGGTTTTGGATGTTGCATGTGATTGTTAGTCATTCTAAATTGCAGACATGTGTAGATTTTGAAAGTTCCAGCTTCTTATTTGGTGGACTGGTCGAGTGAAAAATTCCCATAAAGGATTCGATTATGAAGATGGTGAATCCAGTAGGTTGAAGATTGAGACCATATTCACGTGGCAAAACTCTTAGACATTTGTGCAGACCGGATTTGTATGGGGGCAGACAAGAGTTTATAAAATTACTTACTGATATCCAAACATCAGTCGAGGCGGTGTCATGTTCGAAGAAGTTGTCATATCCGGCGACAATAATGGGATTAACATGATGTTGCGCTTCCTAGCTGAAAACATGATTGGGCTTTGCAGATGTGTATGTTAAGACCGAGGATATCGGTCAGGTTGGAGTCAGTTTTGGCCATTATGACGGTAAAACCTCTTCTGTGGAAGATGAGAATAAGTTAGGTGCCTCTATGGACGATGAAAAGAAGTGATTCCTATGTAAAAAGTGCACAAAGTAAATTTTACAGCAATGTTTTAAAATAATTGAAAAAAATATGATTTTGATGGTTGAGCTTGCCTACCAGGTTGTTGTTTCAACTCGCATGGGATTGATGTGTTGCTTGCTCGATTAAATACTTCACATCCTTATGGCCGGGTTGGATATACAAAATCATAAATATCCGCCACCATTTATCATTAAATACAAGAAAAATAATTTTATTTGATTTGTAAACAAATTATGAAAATACAAATTGTTTAAATATAAGGAAAACTTTTTTTGTGTAGAAGGTCGGGTTTAGCAGCAACTACGGAGCATACTAAGAATTGCTTGATTTCTAGTGTTTTGAGGAAAAATCATCAGTATTCCAAAAAATAAATAACGGCTCAATCATGGTTAAACTACTAAGACACTATTGGTCTTATAGCGTCTCACCAATGATTCACGTTGATAATGAGCAAAAATATCAAATATATGACAAATTTAGTGAACAATAAATCCTAGAATGGAAAGCAAGTAGGTACCCTAATAGCTTCTTCGCCCATTTTTGGCGGAAGGCGATGATGGCGAAAATTGAGTTATAATCCTAGGATGTCCTGGATTTGTATTCCACAATGTCTTCTAGTGCATAACTACTCACACTATACCATCTATTATACACAAAATAGACAAGCATCTTTAGGGGTTTCATTCAAATAACAAGCAATGGAAAGTAAAGCAAAGAAATGTAAGTTGTTTAGGGGTTTTTGAGTTATAGATGCATAGAAGTAAACATACGTTATTGTATAAGAAGGTAAATCTCGAGTATCATCATGCATACTAAAGGTCAATCATATCTGCATCAATGACTTATCTATATCATCACTCTATCTCTTCCACTAAAGTCATTCTCTACCCATGCACTCACCTCTTGCAATAGAGATTTAACTAGCTAATGTATGCTTACACTTCATGTCATCACCTAATTAATAAAGAACAAGTTAGGATAGCACTTGATTGGGTGTGGGCATCTTGAGCCATAATCGATATCCTATAGCATCGATTATGAAAAATTCCTGTCACAATCACAAGCTAAAGAATTATTCAAAAAAAAATTCACACAAAGATCAAATTCAAGACCCGTCAAACCGCTCTGATGGGTCTCTCTAGCAAACGCGACAGTCCAAAACCAGACACTGAATCACCTCTCCTCCTTCCCACTGACAAATCCCTGCCGGTCTCCGCCAAAAACCCAAAGGACAGTTACCACCTTGCCTACATCATCCACTTCACTGTAAGCTTCGGCTACCTCCTCCCATGGAACGCCTTCATCACTATAGTGGATTACTTCTTCTACATCTACCCGGGCTTCTCCATTGGGTTCGGGCTAATATGTCATCGATCAATTCCTTCTGTACGAGTCGAGCAGTCGTGATCTCTCCAACTCACACATATTCGACCGATGGTGGAACGAGGGTCGAGATTCCTGTGGTAAAGGGTGGTGTGAAGAGGGTGGGGTCGAGCGATGACAGTTGTGCGGTGATCATCGAACCGGTGGTTGTGAGTTCCTCTACAACTGGTGGTAGGGCTTCCTCGTCATTGGCGATTGTGGAATCGGATTTACCCTCGTCGGTAAGGGGTTTGTGAGTTCCTCATTAGCGGGTGGTGTGGCGGATGATGTGAGCCGGTTAACTTCCTTTGTGGCCATCATGCGTGCGAAGGACCGAAGAGTGAACTATGGCTGTGAGGCTTCTAGCATCATCAGAGATGGGGAAGAAGCTATGGTTAGCTCGGCGGCAACACTTGATGAAATCGGTGATGCGATGCGTGATGGCAACAAAGTTGCGACTATCTCTTTGATTACGGCAAGGATGACAAACTTCTCGACTACAACAGTCGAGGTCATGATGATGATTGGTGGTGGTGCGATCGATGGTCAAACGTGAGCTACGGTTAGCTCGACGGCGGCTGGTGATGCGACATGTGAGGAAGATAGAGCTACGGTTAGCTCCTTATCGATCAAGACGATTGCGGTCGAATGTCACTTTGAAGTTGTCTGTTAAAAACCGAACAGGAAAAATTAGGGTTACCGATCTGGCTGAGTCGCGGACTAGGTCGCTCTCTTTAAGACGTTCGTGGCACTGCCTCGTTATTCGCACAGCAGACTATCAGCCGGTCGCCTCCAGGATAAAACAGCCACTCTTTTGATTTGCTCAGCGGTTTTGTGCGGAAAACCCGAGCTCTTTGAATCTCACTCTCTCTCGTGTTTCTGCTCTCTGAGGTGTGTTTAGAGGGTCTGGGGCGTCTCCTATTTATAGGAGTAGAAAACCCAGAATATTCCCTCTTTCTTTGGGAATAAGTCATATTTTAATTAAGGAGATAATTACTCCCATAATTAAAATATAATCTATTAAGATAATTATTTTTAATTATCTCCATAATATTCCTTTTATTAATTATCCATCTTATTTAAGTATTATGGGAATATAATGGATAATTAATTAGGAATTTCATTTATAGCTTTTCAAAGCTATTCATCCCAACAATCCCCACTTGAACAGTTTTGAAACTATCTCTGAGCATCAACAGTTCCATAAGATCGGGCATAAGCTAAGGTATCGCGAAGATTTGAACCTTAGCGTAGTGGTTACACTTTCGATTTCATAAGGGTGACTCGTAGTCTTGAACCCTATCTCAGACAATGTAGCACACCAGATCTTTTCATTGAGTGATATTCTCTCATAGGCCGTGCGTTTATGGCCATGCACGTTATCCCGGTTTAGTGAACTCTCTAGCAACTTTGTGCCTCCAAAGTTCCATAGGGAGCGGCCCCACTCCCACATTCACATAGGTGAGTCTATCAGAAGTACCCCCAAAGTAAAGTACTTCACTCCACATAGAGTATAGATCTCATTAAGAGTTTTAACTCAACCTCCAAGGCTTTGGGA